GAATGATTAATTTGAGTGCCCCAAACGAAACCGGCGATTTTAAATTCATTTAATACTCGAACATGGATGCGTGCGTTCTTTTGCATCTTAGCCAAAGATTTACCAACAAGCACATCCGGTGCAGAATATTGTGCTGTTTTGCAACGTAGAATTTGTTTATCCCACAATTTTAGTCTTCAAGTATATGTATATATATATCTATTAATTTAGCGTTGAAGAAAAGTTTGACCTTCCTTGCCGAAGGGACCACAATTACAAAAAATGATTTTCTATAATTTTGGATGTTGCTGGAACCAAGATTGGAGGCCTAGATAATGACAGTATTTTTTTTTTTTAATCAAGTACTTACTATTGTATAAATCAAATAGTCGACTCCATTTTGATGGCTTTGTGCAACATTTCTTAGCTCAGAATACGAGTACAATTGCATGTTTACTTAATTTTTGTCGCAACTGTATATAAGTATGTATTGTACTGATGTATGCATGGGAATGAAAGTTATAAATATAAATTGTATGAGCTCCTTCCATTTTCGTTGTCTATTAATAATTATTGAAGTGCTTGCTGAACCAAACCAAACAGGCTTTAAGAGTTGGGTTTGTAATGATTTTCGCGTTACATTTTTGTGCGGAATGCGACAAGAGTTTTGAATGGAGTTTGCGCATAATCCCTAAAAAGAGAGAGCACAGGTGGAAAAGGCCGATACTTAAAAAACACTCAACAATTATGAAGCTTAACTATTATATGTTATATGTAGGTTATATTTAATATATCCGATATTAATACTGAAAAAAATTGCTTTTACCGCTAGACAAACAAACAATGAGTTAATGCTGTAACTCCTTCAATACATATATATGTATAAAACCCTAAAAACTTTTTTTTAATCTGAAATTATGTAAAAGACCCATTTATCTCTTTAGGATAGTTATGCAGAAATGACTTTTCTGAACAAAAGTCTTATTGAAAGGTAAAAATTGTCGAAAGAGGTAGGCATGAGATAGAAAAAGAAGAATACATAGATAGTTGAAATAACCCACCAAAATAAAAAAAGTTAAACAGATCAACGTGAAACCAACCAAAATAGTTGAGCGCATAAAAATTATTTCTCTCCTGATAACGAGACATATATGGCTAGTGGCGTTCCGATACCATTACTTGAATGCTTCTCCAAAAACCAAGCTGTTTGTACTTCGAAACGTGTGTAGAGGTAGTCACCAAATGTTTAAATGCTAGCTAAACTCGTATAAATGCTAGCCAAACTCTGGGAAAAAATATTCGGAAAAATATGCGCATAAACATCAAAAGAAGAAATTATGAGTGTATTTCTAAAATCCGAAACAATAATTTCTATGAACTAATTCTAATCACCCTTTGTCTGTTTTAACAAACTGTAGTTTCATCGTTGCCAATACTCAAAGAACCATTCATACCTCTTCTACAGGAAGGTTTCGATTTATCAGATGTTGTCATCATCCGGGCCTTCGCAGTCGAGAACATCCACCTTTTTTGGTCGGACTTGGGATCTGTTGGCTGAACTTTCACTATGTTGAATGGCATGCGTTCTTAGTTCATAATGATTCGTACGTATGTACGTCTGGAATATTGGATACCTATCCTCGATCTATCGCAACATTACTAATATGGACCTGTTTGTATATAAGGATTTTAAAGTAAAAAATATAATATTAATACAAACATTGTGTTTGAGTATATTAAAAAAAATTAAAGAATAAGAAGTACGACAAATACGGAACTGCGTTTCGATACGCATGCTTGGTAAGCCCAAATTAAATCGCATTGTATGCGTTTATTAATTTAATATATGTACGAGTAATATAATATGTGTTTGAGTCTAAATTGTAAGTTCTTTACAAAACAAACAAGTATGTTGTACCAGAGAGGTCTGTCATCAAAAAGTTTTTTGTGAGATTGGTGAAAAGTTACGGCTTCTATAGAATCCATAGAGGACTCATCCGGTTTGCAAAATTTTATTTTTTCTTTTTTCTGTTTATTTTTTATTTCGGTCTGGGCTACTTTTGACTTTTAATAGTTTGGCTTTCTTCTAATTGCTTTTCATAAGCAGAGCTAGTTAATATGGCAGGCTTGCATTTTCTGGTTTGGTTTCCTTATTGCCTTTTCTACTTAGGCGTTAGGGAAATCTTCCATGCTGTTATGTGCCCAATGTAACAGAAGACTGATTTTGGGTGACTGGATGCATAGAAGACAAACCATAGCTTGTACTTGTAATATTGCTATGTTGGAATATATTATTATATTCCTGTGATTCTGAAGCCATTAATAGCAATTCGACCAGTTTGCACTTTTAAGTAGGCTTTAGTAAAAAAGCCAATTTGATCCTACTGCTTTAATTTTCTTCCTTGTTCACGATAATTTTACGATATATAATTATTAAAAAAAAATAACGCCCACCAGCAAAGTCGGTTCGTCTTTTGAAGGGCTTGGAAAACTTATAACTTGAACCACTCTGTAACTAAAGATATTTAAACCCAGCCGGATGTGTGACACGAGCACTTCGATCCCGGTAGCGCATATCACATTAGCAGGCCTGCAGATAACACTGTTTTTTTCGTCCATGTCAAATTACATTTGCCAGTTGGTAACGTAAATTAAAGAATATTCATTTATATATATATATTTGCATTTAATTTGTTGTTAGAAGGTAAATTTTCCCGGCTTTTACTTTGGCAATCAAATTTGAAATATCGCGAAACAGAAGGTTGGCTCATTGCAGTTAGACAATTGCTCCTAACGATAAATATGTTGTTGAGAGAAAGCTCAAATAAAACGGCAGCGATGTTCTCTCTCTAAATTGTCTCTCCCCATTGTCTAATGGTGCCAATTCGTTTATAAGCTTTCAACAAATTGATTTGTTTGTGCGAAAATACTGAACGACGAACTAAAATGGCAATTTTTTCTAGCAAATTTCTTAACATGCATCTTCTTGCACTTTTTTCTTCATCTTCAGTTAATTCTAGGCGTAAAATGTGTCTATAAATATTGGTTTTTTATTTTTTCACAAATTGTAAACGCAAAATCGATTGTTTGTTACCTCCTATTTCGCTGGTAAAAAACTTACAGGGTGACAGTGAACTCAGAATACGAAATAGTAACCAAAGTAAATTTTGTTACCTCGACAAAATAGGCCTGTAGCTGTGCGCTAAAATTCCACGGGAAAATAAAATGCAGTGAATATTGCTCCTCTAATAAATTAAACATATATTGAATATCTTCTATTGTAAATATTTTGTCGCTGTTACGAGATGATTTAATCCAATCGTTTCCGGTGCATTCTTCTATGGTTGTTTTAGGGCCGTGTTCACTATCTTCGGTTAAGCACTTAATCATAACACACAACTATGAATTAAGTTGCGGTTAAATTAAATAAATAAATTTTTTTAAGAAATATTGCGCAGAAATTTTTATTCCTAGATTTCTTCTTTTCAAAGTTCACGTTTTGGAAAAAATAGAAAGTAAAATTAGAAGCCGCACTGAAAGGTTTGTGAAAATAATATGTTTTGAATAAATAAAAATTGTTGATAATTTATTTGCGTTTATAATAATAAAGCAGTGGAAATTTCACATTTAACATTATGCTTTTTGCATCGGGAAGTTTTTAATTTGTGTTGCTGGTTTGTGCGGAATGAAAGTGGCGACTGCCAGACGGGTGGTAAAAGTCATTGCTGTAGAGGCACTTGCCCAGCTATTCATTAGAATACCAAACAAAGCAGGTTTACTGAGAGCAAAATTGCGCCGATAGTTCGTTGAGACACCGGTTTGAGCAAAACGAATAGGAACTGCTTTTCATTGAGTGACAATGGTTATGGAGTCAGCAGCTACAAGATGTGTCAGCTTTTACATCCCAATCTTTGCACGGAACTGCTTCACAATGAATCTCAAATACATATCTACTCTAAATTGCATAGATATTTTATAGAACCTGGAGTATGGAAGCGCTGCTTTCCAGTGGTATCCTTTGAATTGAGAGTAATTTAAAACCATCAAAGCTTTTTTTCAAATATGAATATATGAAATGAATTTCATTAATTAAGATTTTGTTTCATAGTCAAAAAAAAAAATTAATTTATTAAATAAAAGAAAAAACGCATAATCTCGTAAGGAAAAATTTAGGCGAATACCAATTGTAATGCAGTTTGGATGAATTCATAACGCCGATTTTGTATCAATTCACTTTAACCAGAAGTTGAATAACCCAAACATAGTGAAAACGAAAGTGACACATCCGCTTATCTGGCGCTATCTTTCGGTTACATGTTAAATTTACCGGAAATAGTGAAAACGACGCATAAGGCTAAGAATGTTAATGTGGTATACTGTACCACATTTACCGACTTTGACTTTAACCATACATTAACATTATCCATTTCGGGTTTTTGTTTTGAAAAATGAAAATCAAATAAATATAACAACTTTAAAGGAAAACGCATCTAATCTAATCTAACACTTTCTTTGTGATATTTAATTTTGAATTAATATTTAGTGAATTAATTTGCGAAAGGCAGATGGTAGAACTCCATTCCATTAGAGTTTTCACTCAATACATTTACAAATTCACGCACATTATTCACAGTTATATTCAAATTAAGCCGCTTTACACCTGTTCTATTTTTCATAAACTCAGCTCCTTATATAAACAGTGCTGCCACATGGTGTTTTGATTTCTAAATAAACAGGTGTACCACAATGCTCGCTGTTCTTCTACATATATGCATACATCCATACATAGCTGAAGGGCCACGGTTAACCTAACAGGTGGTAAGAAGTTTTGTTGTTAGAAACGATCGTTATGGTAACGATACGTACTTACTTGCTATAGGTAATGTTGTGGCTATTTTGTTGTTAAGATAAATACAAGTGTAGTGTCCAAATTTATATTAATATTAGGTGACTGGTTTCGAGTACGCCGTGTATTTAACAAACTTTAATTTAAAAGCAAGCTATCAATTTATTTCTAAGCTATGGATGCAACCTCTTCACAAGTATCGCATGGCTCTATTGAAAGTGCATCCAGCCAACATTCAACTGTACCAGCTCCTCCTCTGACTGCTGCTGCGCGTCCTCCGACGTCATTACTCTTCTCAGTAAGTATTCCCATGAACTATACTCCTGCACAGATGTAAATACCGATCGAAAATTACAAAGAAGTAAAATTTTTAAACATTTTTAAAATATTACATTTTTGCATGTGGTATGTTCATACTATTTATATACGAGTACATACGTACGTGTATGTAAAAATGTGCGAATATATGCATGGTTGAGCTGTTATAAACAAATGTGAAAGTCTACTTTGCAAACCCACCCAAAGTACGTAAATCCTGGGCAACTCTACTAAATCAAATTACACTTAATAGATAAAACATAAATTTAGTTATCATTTATGTTTTTTGTATAACTTTGATTTTGTTAATTTTTTCATATTTTCGCAATAGCTTGGTTGATAAATAATTTGAATGGTTTCGCAAAACTTTCAATTATAACAGCTAACAAATGTAAGAATTCGTTGAATGTATTGTTATTGAAAATTTCGTCTTAGCGTGGCAATTTGGCAAGCAGCCGTTTTGGAAATGATAGATCTACGACCGCTCGACCGTCAACGGCTGTTCGCGGTGTGGGATATGCGGCCAACTCAGCTGGATCATCAGGGCAACGTTTTGACCAGCTATTTTTAGAGAAAGCCAAACAGCAAACGCTGTCATCAGCAAATGCAGCTGTTGACTCAAAGAAGGAAGTGAAGTAAGTTTTCTGTTTATTAACACTAATATTTATTTATTGGCTCTGCTTCGACATCGGAAGCCTAACAATATGTTATAGAAATTAGAACTAAACTAAAATATAAAGCCCATTAGCATTAATGGGGCACATGCTAGACGTTGCTCTTTAGAAGGCGCATTTGACTTGTTGCGGAGGCCAAGATGTTAGCCAAAGGGTTCGGATGATTGTGCAGTTTTGATGTCTTCTTTGGTTGTGCACATATTTAGATCTCTATGGATATTATACCTACATATATTCGTCGCGCAAGTTCTATCCCATAACTAGATTCCACATAAGAAGGCTTCGTTGTTAAGGTTGACTCCAGACTTCTTGTCTAAAGGACAATGTAAACTAGCAGACTTGAGCTTGAGCTACAGCTCCACCTGCCAAGGTGGATTCAGTAATATGTATTGTAAATTTGTTAGCTTGCGCAGTGCTAGCTTGACAGTAGAGTACGTTTTCTGACTTAATTGTAAAAGTTAAGTGTTTGCACTTATCTTCATTAACTTATATGCCAAATTTCGCAGAGCTTTATTCAATTAGTTTAAGGTATCGCTGTAACACTTTTATGGCTAAAAAAGTTAAAGTAATTACTTGGAGGAATATCTGCGGTCAAGAGTATGTACTTATTGGATACTCCTCTCTTACGAAGTCATTTACTTTTACGCAGAATCGACTGTTAGATAAGTGGGATACAAGGATTATGTGGAACTTGTTAAGTTTCATGAATTAGACCATCATACCGCAGTTTGTCAAATGCTTGCCTTACTTGCACAATTGAACTATGATTTTCGCGATTTTAATGGAAAAAGGAAGAAATTTTTGATAGTAGCACTTTTTCGAAAGGGTTGGAACGACAAAGCAACATACATTGATCTAGGTGATTACGGCACGGTTTCGTCTTTACCTGGTGTAGCTGTCATAATTACCTTCGCAATTTTTCATATTTGTGGATAGTATATTGTTTTTAAACTTTTGTATTTATCTACTGAATCTGTTTGAATATGAGAAGCCTCACAATAAGTTATCAAATCTTAAGAACTAAATTAAAATATAATCGACCATTGGCTAGGAATGGGCTGTTGGCTCCATGTTGCTCTTTACTACCCTTGTAAATTCCTTCTCTTCAATCACGTTTGACTTGTTGCGGAGGTGATAGCCAAAGGGTTCGGATGATTGTGAAGTTTTGATATACATATAATATATACTTTTAAAGCCTCTTCTTTGGTTGTGCGTATTTTTAGATCTCTATGAATATTTACTTTACGCATATACTATGATGCGCCTGTTATTATTCTGAACGTTTTCGATTGGAATCTTTTTATTACACATAATTTGAAAGGTTTAACATAACCTACAAAACAACGCCATGCATAATTAGTTTGGATATTGTGTTCAACAGTTATAGACGTGTAAACATGGAGTTCACTAACGCCGAAATTCGCGCTATTTTAAAGTTTTCTTTCGTTAAAGGCAAATCCGCTAGAGAAACGTTCCGTGAGATTAATGGTGTTTTGGGGGATGGTACTCTATCATTTCGACGATTCAGACCCGTTGAAAACGACACCATGGATAAGCCAGCCGGCGGAAGACCTGTGACGACAAATACCGATCAAATCATGGAATACATCGATTTAGACCGGCATATGGCATCTCGTGACATCGCCCAGGGGATGGGAGTTAGTCACCAAACCATTTTGAACCATCTGCAGAAGGCTGGATACAAAAAAAAGTTTGATGTTTGGGTGCCGCATAATTTGACGCAAAAAAAACCTTCTGGACGAGGCAACGACTGCGATATACTGCTGAAACGGAACGAACTCGACCCATTCTTGAAGTGGATGGTGAATCGTCCCACACAGTGGCCAAGCCGGGATTGACGGCCAGGAAGGTTTTGCTGTGTGTTTGGTGGGATTGGAAAGGAATCATCCACTATGAGCTGCTCCCATATGGCCAGACGCTTAATTCTACCATCTACTGCGAACAACTGGACCGCTTGAAGCAGGCGATCGACCAGAAGCGTCCAGAATTGGCCAACAGGAAGGGTGTAGTGCTCCACCAGGACAACGCCAGACCACACACTTCGTTGATAACTCGTCAGAAGTTACGGGAGCTCGGATGGGAGGTTTTATCGCATCCACTATATAGTCTGGACGTAGCGCCAAGTGATTACCACCTGTTCCTGTCCATGGTGAATGCCCTTGGTGGTGTGAAGTTGAACTCAAAAGAGGCTTGTGAAAAGTGGCTGTACGAATTCTTCGCAATTAAGGAGGGGGACTTCTACGAGGAAGGTATTATGAAAATTCCGTCTAGATGGAAACATATCATCGAACAAAACGGCGCATATTTTAACTAAATCCGATCACTGTAACACTTTTTATAAAGCATTGAATGAAGAGCAAAAAAGTGGAAGGGAGATATTTGACAACCTTATATCTGCATTTGTCGCGCAAGCTTTGGTACTGACGTATTATTTAATATATACGTATACGAGTACATAAATATCTTCATATGTAGATCTCAATGTTTAAATGAAGAGTGAAAAATTTTATGTGTAATAATTGTAAAACTTTTCAGCTCCTTTTTCAATACGCGGTTTGGTGGGGCGACATACGCCATAGTACGACTTGTTAGTTAATAATTATAAAACTTGAAGTATTATATACATACGATTGTATACATCGTATTTATGTCGATTCAAAATTGGAATGATCGCCTATTTCGTTCATATGGCAGCCCACAGCCAAGCTATTGGCATTTGAGACAGAAACACAATCCCTCCAGTATTTTTTATCTTTCAACAAAAGAATAAGACCAGGTCTTTTACTTAATAACTTTAATTGTATAATGAATTTTTTCTTTTGGAGGATAGTCTGTTATCTTTCTTTGTTGTATAACAAAAATCAAACAAATAGGCCTCTAGGTCACTAAAAGTTCACCCTATGCTGAAGTATCAACATCAATGCCGACATAAGATATGTAAAGTAATTAAATTTTAAATGTTTTATTAGTCCGCAGGTGAAATTTAAAAATCTGGAAACAAAAATTGTGAAACTTCTCGAAGCTTCAATTTTATTATCGGCCAAGGATGTAATGACCAACTCTAAAACCGCGTCTGGGGCTGAATTGAAATCTAATTTTGCAGAAGCATTAAATAAAGCTAAGGAAGCTTTCTCACTGGATCGAACTTTGCATCAGTTTCGTTCCCAATATGGAGAAAATATTTTCCACAATTTTGACTTGACCTATGCGGTAAGTATTCACACCCAAGGCTGGTAAAAACGTTTTGAAATATTTGCACTAAGAACCTAAATCGGTTGGAAAGTTGAAATAGATTTGTCAGGTGCCATTATTATATTAAAGGTTCTCTTCCTGTTATTTCTTAAGTTCAATCAGATTTTTCTAATTTGAAACAGGTATTCTTTAACTTAGCTGAGCAATATGAACGCAATGACATGCATATCGAAGCTCTTAACACATATAGTATTATGACCAAAAACAAAATGTTTCCACATGTGAACCAGCTGAAATTAAATATGGGCAATATTTACTATAAAATGGGAATATATCCAAAAGCGATAAAAATGTATAGGATGGCACTTGACTCGGTGCCAAATAACTTAAAACAGCTTCGATTAAAAATAACTCACAACATCGGTATCCTATTCGTACGCATGGGTCAGTATGCCGATGCTGCTTCCAGCTTTGAGTTCATCATGACAGAACGGCCGGAAATTCGAAGTGGTATTCATTCGATACTTTGTTACTATGCTATCGGTGATGTTGAAAAAATTAAGGCCACATTTCGTAATTTGTGCGACGTACAGCAGGTCGAAACAGAAAATGATTTGGAAATAGAAAATAATATAATTAAAATTCAACAGCATGCCACCGCCGACGACGAGGCCGAGCAAGGTTTATCTGATTTTAATTATGACATTGCATCCACTCGGAATCAAATTATGAATGAAGCATCAGCTGAAAATGTCGAAAGTAATTTCAATGACACTATGAAGCGAAATTTGGAAAGTAAAAATATTAAGCGCTATGTTACGAAAGCTTTAAAGTGTGACGAACTAGCTGGATACATCAAACGACGTCGAAATAACAACAAACGGGCAATTACCATGATTGTGGACTTAATATCACCGATAATTGAGGAAAACTATAATGACGGTAAATATATTTGCTTCCCTTTTTCGTAGTTTTCGAACTCCGTTTATTTTTTCTAGGTTATAATTGGTGTATCGAAATTATCAAAACATCAAATTTGGCGTGGCTTGCAAGCGAATTGGAGCTAAATAAAGCTCTGGTTTATTTGCGGCAAAATGACGTCAGTCAAGCTATTGAAACACTGCAAATGCACGATAAAAAATCTGAAGAATCTATGACCGCCAGTGCTCTCATAAACCTGTCATTCATATATATAAATGTGAGTATATATTTGTATATAATGAGTATAATTTTAGCTATTGTACATTAGTTACTTTTTAAAAATTAACATATACATGGATTAGTATGATACTCCGCAGTACAAGAACTACTTTCTATAGGTGTCATATAATATAAGGAGACCGCTTAGCAGTCTAAGGATTCTAACTTTTTGTACCGTGCTCTGGTACCAGCTTATCATATAATATATATAAGATTATTCTAAGTGAACCCAGACACTTTTTCTCTATGCCGCTGTGTTTTGATTTGCTTATCTGCTCCGCGTTCTGCTGTATACGGCATTCTCCGTTAGTAATACGGCATGCAATCATTTAAATTATGCAGTATGTGAATACCTCGGCCAGCAATCCATCAGAATCCCTCGCTTTATTGTTCTGCAGGCAGGGTCGGACTTGCCATCACCTGGGGCTTCATTTTCCCTGCCATTCAACGGACTGAAGAAGGATTCCCTCCATTAATCTAGTGTAGTCTGGGCATCAGACGCTAAATCAGCTAGATATTTCCTTCTTCATGAAATGCTACGGCCTTGAAACCTTCTGTAAGTGGAATAATTTTTTTATAGAATTTTTTAACCTTTCTCTCGCTTTTTCTATCTCCAAATGCATCTTCCTTCATCAACTTTTGGTATCTTTCCACATAGCATGTACTCTTGTTGTGGACTCGTTAGAAACAAGCACGATTTCATGACACTTATAGAAGGTTATTAGGATGCAAAGTCTTTCTTTCCATTTCTACTTACTAAGTAGAAAGCTGGATTGCTTTCAAGTCGCTATGTAGCCGATATCTTCAGAGTGAGTTATGAGTTGTTTGACATGACTGGTTGCATATTCGTTTTTCATTTCGGTGTAGATGGGTCTGTCCTAAAAAAAAATGTTGGGAGGGAAAAGAGTATATGTTTGACACGAAAAAGTTTGCTCTTGTATTTAAGAGAAAATGAGTATTATTAATTTACTATATGTACAATGTATGTTAACCATTCCCACATCGATTACAAAGGAAGCAATATAATTTTGCTTTAACAAATAATGTGCTTAAAAAGATACTATTAGAGCTACCTAATACTCAATTTTTAGCCATGTACTCGACGAATGAGTCTCTCCAACTACGAATCCGCGATCCTTTATATGGCCGCTGTAGTAAATGGCACAAGGATCTACTCGTTTACGTCCTTGTCCCGTCCATCGCATTTCTTGGACGGCGGTTATGTCAGCCTTTAGTTTAGCGAGGACATCAACCAGCCGAGTAACGGCACCAAATTAAGGGATCGGACATTCCAAGTGCATGCCCTCAAATCGTGATCCTTAGTTCGTTTGAGGGGTTCGTCATAAAAAAAAGTTTTCGTTTTCATTGGAGTTGATTTCTACGTAGCGGATGCCAAACCCAGCGCACATCCTCGGTAGGGGAGTAAGTTTAAATTTTGTATACATTTATGTAGCCGCTTTCTTCAAGACCGACGCTCGCTCATAACCGCACCTGTTGTGAACAGACGCTGCATTTAGACTTCAGCGAACCCTTAAACCGAATTAGTCGAAGTGGCTCCACTGAAGCTTCTTCTCTTTTAGCGGTAACACAAGGCTCCATACAGCGCTAAATATAAGACATGCACTAATCGAATGATTAGTATTGCATACTGCCATTCTGAAAGCCAGGGACTGGGTCCTGCTTCAACCAACATCTGAGATTATAGAAAATTATTTTTTCTAATTAATATAAAACATTCGATATTTTCAATTTTGAGATATTACTCTAACCGGGACTCGAACTAACAACTAAGCCGGTCATCTGCAGCTTAACCGAAAGCATTGTGAACTTTTAAAAAAATGTTAGATTATTATGTTTGCTATCGACTTTTATATTTATTTCAATAAAACTTATTTATCTTATTTTAGATGGGCAACTTTGATATGGCGGATCAATGCGTGAATCAATTGAAAGAGTTTGGTGTTTTGCAAAGCAATCCCATGGCTCTCGTTAATGCTGCTGTCATCGATTATGAACGGAAGGATTATAGCGCTGCGCGGAAGAGACTCGAAGAAGTGTTACAAATACAGCCAGATAACTTTGAGGCTAACTACAATCTTGGTCTTGTTGGACTGCAAGAAAATAATTTGGAACTGGCTGAAGAGCAGTTTGAGCACTTAAAGGCACTAATGATGGTTCCACATTCAGTGCAGCATAGTCACGTATTTTTCCAGTTGGCAAAACTACAAGAGAGGCTCCATAATGATTCAGTATTAAATAGCAACTTTCGGCACACGGCAACGCCAGCAGCTTTGCAATCCTATCTTCAAGTTTTGGGAATTTCTGCTGCTGATACTGATTCTCGACTATTCGATAAAGTTGGATCAATATATGAGCAAGTGCAGGACCACCAAGAGGCTAACCAATATTATAACGAAGCCTATCGCATTAATCCAAGTGATATAAATATCGCAAGCTCCATAGGTTCTTATTATATAAAACTACAAGCGACGGAGAAAGCCATATACTATTATGAGCGCGCTGTTCTCGCAAATCCCAATGATGCAAATCTTATGCTGCGTGTCGCCAGTTGTTTCCGAAATTCTTACTTACCTCCTAAACAATATTTGGGTATTTTTGAGAAGATATACAATCGATTCCCGGATAATTTAACATGCGTCCGGGCACTGGTACAGGTCACCAAATCGCTCGGCTTAACGGAATTGAATGAAAAATATTCTTTAGAATATACCCGCTTGCATAGAATTCTGCAAGAGCGCCAAAATGACCAACGTTACCAACAGCAAAGGCTATCATCGGGAGCATCGAGCAAAGGAAGTAATCGTTTTAGAGGTGAATTGAACATTCATATAATCACATTTATTGACAAGTTGGTAAAGTACGTGTAAATACATATGTAGGTTCAAGAAAGGGGAATTTTCAAATTGCTCAAAAATTATCTGAAAACATGATTCAATAATTCAAGGTTGGATAAGTAAACAGCTTTCTCGCTCCCTCCTGACAAAAGCGCTGCCTTACCTCAAAACAATAATGCTTATTTGTAAAAAAAAAAGTATTATTTTTAGAATAAATATTTAAAAAGTAGCTAAATACATTCTTTATTTATGAAAAAATTTGGTATACATCACATACTCTTTTCTTATTGGTTGATTCAATATTTTGACAACCATTTAATTATTTATTTTATCTTGTTGCGGAATTTGTGAATCGTAAACACTTTAAAGTTGGTAATTAATTTTTATTTAAAACGAATTTTGCTGATAAATCGATTTTGACAGCTCTTCATCGCCATGTTTGAATAACTCTGCCGGTAGGACTTCAGCTCCAGCCGATTTGTTGATCCTCCACATCCATTAATTTTTACAGTATGGATTTTCCTTTAGTTGCTGTATATAATTAAGAAAATATAGCTGTATTATTTTAATTTCAAAAGTACTTAATTCGTGTTTAAAATAAATGAAACATCATAAATCTCATGTAAATTATCTACTATTCCTCTTACTTTTTAACTCTTTTTGCGCTACTTTTTCCGTTTTTTTTAAGGAACATATTTTCTCCCCTTTTTTACTACTTTCCAAAATGCAACCATTTATAAGGGAGTGTCAAAACTTCCTTGTCACTACTTATCCAATCTTTAGTAATTGAAACACGATCTGAAAACACATGCTACGTAAACGTAAGGTGTTTGTTAATGTCTGTGCTTTTTTTTTTTTTTTGAAATAAGTAAAATCAAGAAAGAAGTGCTGCTTTCGGTCATGTGCTTATCAAGATTATTGAAAAATGCTAAATTCGATTTCGATTATTTGCAGATTTTTGATTTTTCATCCAAACCTCAATAGATGGATAGTAGAGGAGATATATGATATAAATTGTCCTCCGATTACGATGAATCTCAGTGCAAATAATTATTTGTTTATATGTACATACATATATACTATATGTATGTCCGAGTATGTGCTATTATACGCACAAAGTACGTTTATTTGTATATATGCGTGTAGAATACCAAATACTTGTAGATGCTTCATTGATAGATTCGTAGTCGAAAATCCGTTATCTGAACAAATCAGTATGGGTATAGCCGTCCGATTTCGATAATTTTCCATTTTAAGCCGAATAAATCGGAATGACACTGCAAGATAAAAATCTGTCCATCGCGTAAAATTTAAACTAACACGCTGTTGGCGCAATAAAGTACGTCCATGCTATGGAAACGCAATTGAACTGAATTAATTAACTTAATTTTTCAACTGATACTGATTTAACGATACAAGTAATAGGGTGGAATAGTTTTGATCGAAAATGACAGTCTAAAGAGAGTAATATAAAATTAATTCGGCCACAAATGAGGTTTTGCAACTTAACATTGTGCAAATTGTTGTTAGTCTCAGGGACCTGAGCAAGTAAGAACTGGTGCAACGAAAATTATTTGGAAAAAAAAGTTAATTAAAAGAAAGAAAAGCTAAGATCGTGTTTTAAAAAACAGCAGAATTGACTGTTGCGCAAAAAATTGTGTTTACGCGTATATTTAATTAAAAACACCGAGTTCGCTTTCAAAAAATCACTCGCGACAATTATTGTAGAAGCAAAACGTCTATTTTCTTGATGTATTGTGACGAGCTTTTAGACCGTTTGTACCGGCTCACTCTTCGGCAACGACCGTTTCCATTTGACATTGCTGTAAGTGAATCGCAGCACCATACACGTCAGAAATGTGTCGATTTTGTTAAGGCACAGCTGCGATTCACAGATAGAAAATCTTTCCATGAGATGTTTTCTTGTTAACTCATGTGGCACACATCATACATACGCGTACATCGAGCTTCTTTGTATATAAAGCCTATTTCAAAAGTTCCAAACTGTATTTGTATAATGTTTACCCCGTGAGCAATGGAAATAGTGCTTGCTGACCATCATGACACGACGATCTCCATTACTTTATCGAAATTTTCGGCAATTGGTCTTCCAATCTTAGTCCCGTTGCGCACGCGTCTAGTCTTGAAAGCATTTTTTTGCATTCTTTTTTGTATTTTCAATATGCTTTCACACGCGTGAACTTTTATTGAATTTAAGTGCTTTCTTTCCAGTATTAATTCAAAAATGAAAGTCGACTAAAGAATTATTTTTAAATATATTTTGAAGTAACCAGAGCTAATAAAGGAGATAGCGATGGCGAAATTATTTTCGGTACTTTATTGAAGTTTAAAATTTATCGAAATGGATTAGTTATTGTGATGAAACAGGATTACTTGATTGAAATTAAGGTTTTAAGGTTTTTCTTCTTACCTCACTCGTCTACGAACGAGGAGACTTGAAAGCAAAACTTGACACGTGTGAAAGGGGACTTACACGTATATAAAAATTGCCGGAACGAAATCGACGAAACCAAAATGGTTACTGGGCGTCAACACTGCATAATCCAATCCGAATTATAAATAATATTTTTGAACAACTTTAACTTTTTTTTTAGCTATATCAGCATTACCTATGTATGTATTAGGAGATTTGAATTGATATTTAATATTTTCTAACAGACAACGCTATAATTTTAGACGGTTTCCATTAAATGAGTTTTTAGCTGCAGGAGATTGGATGAATACAGGTTTCGTAAGGTCTTAAGGTATCTTATTTAAATAGGATGTCGATCATATTTGCATACATTGCATATAATATAGGGTTATCCATTTCCTGGTTTTGAACGTATAGGACTATATTTGGTCTTTTCTTCGCATGCAATTGAAGAACACAACTTGAACAGGATGTGGTTTCTCGGCAGCGTAAAGTATTGTCTAGCCTATGCCAGTTGGTCACCCAGATCGTGCGATTTGACACTGTTGAACTTTTTTGTGAGGCTACGCGAAAGGCCGTGTTGATGCACATAAACTCTTGAGCACTTGGAAACCAACATTCGTCAAGTTGCGGCTGAAATGTCGATTGAAAAAATTGAAAGAGTGTTCGAAAATTATCTCAAACGGATCGAAGTTTGCTAAAATTAGAGAGGCGGTCACTTGAAAGATGTAGTGTTTCACTTTATAGTAAAAAGTGGATGCCATGAAAAAAATATTTTAAATGCATTTTATTTACGTTTATTTTCGAGATCGCAAAATGAATGATTACTTATCGTTTTCTATGTAAATTTATTAACTACTTTGGTTTTTAATCATTATCGCACAGCTGTTCATAATTTTCTTGTTGCTTCATTTTGACAGCTCATTAATAGAATGGTTATTTTTCCTGTATTTTAGACCACTGAAATATCAATGTCCAATTTCAATTTAATTATTTTTTTAAATAAATTAATTTTATTTGAATTTACGAAGTTAACGGGCTACACAATTGAATTACTAGCCGTACATCTAAATCAATCTAATTTTCTGAAATTTTTAATCAATAAATATTCTCATTTTTACACTGCTGTTTTCTGTCAGACATATCGCTGTCAGTTTATCGCTTTGATATCTTTTTTGCTGTAGTTGAAATCGTTTGAATTTTTCAAGGTATGAACTGGGAATCGTTGAAAATATGAATGCTTTAATAAATAATGAATGCAAAGATGCTTAAAACATATTATACAAATAACAAAAATTTGTTATAAAAAATACAAGCCTGAAATTCCGCCTAAAATGTATATGTTAATTAAATTTAATTTTTGAACCTTTAAAATATTTTGCAGAGACGAAAAATAACATCGAAGAACATGCGGGCCAATTATTTACGGAAAATTCTGAAACAAACACTCTAACATCCACAATTAACATGGACCAATATATGCAATTAAGAAACTCGTATAATACAGGTAACATACATATAAAGTTTAATAAACACACAAACCTACTTTCATATACATACATATATATTAAGGTAATTTCCGCATGTAGGACCAAATGAAACGATTCCATAGACATTTTCTCGTGTTATTGATTATTATTTAATTTAAGAATAGTACCACATCATATTTTTTATTTGGAAGGTGTCCTTACCTCTTTAGGAGAAGAGAAAATAATAATGAATTGAGAATCGTGTGACAGAAAAGCTGAGAAAAGCATTTAAACATGAAGAAAAATTATGTATGCTACTAGTTATTACATGTCTTCGGCTTAAGTTGGAGTCTACTCCAGATAAGCTAAAAAAACTTTCGAAGGGCAATCAACAGAGCTTTCTAAGAAATACCAATAAATGGTTTATGAACATATCTCATTTCGAAAATATAGGTGTATAATGGAGTACAAGAAGTTAATAACGAAGACGGCTTTGCAGACCAAGTGTGCTGGACCTTAAATTAAGAACTTAATTTTAATGAATTTACACTTCCAAACCTTCACGCAAATAAACCTTCATTCTAAGCCGTATAAAGGATTCATTTCCAATGCTGAAATGGTGTCAGACGCTTATAAGAGCTTTAAACTTTTCAAAGCTGTCGGTCCCTTGAATTCTTTTCTGGCATGTTTGAGCATACATCCAATTCGCCTATTACGGGTAATGGATTTCGAATTAGAAATCTTTTAAAATTGGGCTGTAAGACTGAAAAATCAGAGGCGGCGAGACGCTACTCTCCCTCTGGGAAGGTGAGAGTGAGATACTACTCTCCTCCTTTACGAATATAGTATATCTTATACAGTTCATCATTCCATCGGTTGCGGTATTCGCTGTTCCCAGCTCGTAGGCGACCGTAAATCTCACGCAAAACCTTTCTTTCAAAAATTTCCTAACGGCGACTCATCAAATGTAGTTATCGTTCATTTACATATCAGGACTTGAACGATGAATGACTTGTAGACTTTGGCCTTCTTTCCTCGGGACAAGGCTTTACTTTTCAATTGCCTACTCATTCTAAAGTACAATTGCACCTGTTGGCAAGAGTGATTCTGCAATGTATTTCCACGCCGGCATTGTACGAATCTATTTCTATTTAGCTAAGTACTGTTCATTCAAATTAGCCTTATAAGTGCATTGCAAATAATCTAGTTTTAGCCCAGAGCTCTGAGGTCGCAGCAACCGAATGGTTGGCATTGCGTACTGCCATTCTGAAGACCACGCCATGGTTCGAGTACTGATGCGTGCAACATCCAAAATTACAGAAAATTACCCAATCGTCAGACAATGTCAATCTCTTCGAGTATATTTCTGACATCTTTTTATTTTCTCATAAAAATCCATCCACCATGCCATGCTGATAGATACACTCCGATCGATCCGAACTCCGAGCGATATTCTAATACTTAAATTAAAATTCAAGGGCCTACTGAGAAGAATACCTCTAGATTGGAGTCTCTGGGTTAAAAAGAAGTTACAAATATAATTCTTTAAAATTCAAAGCAATTTCCAGCGGATAGAATTTTCAGGATCGTCTCCATTTTAGGCATAGTTTCGAGGAAAATGTCAGCATCAAAATCGCTGATATTCCGGGGCAGACTTTTTACAACACTAATGGCCATATGTATACATACATGTGTGCGTGTGTATAAATAACATATGTATTACTAATAAAGATGTATGTATATTTACAGAAACACATCATTCTGATCCTCTGGGTCCACCAGCTGAAAGACCACGTACTGGAATTATAAATAATATTTCACGGGACCACGACTCTGGAGATGACGAAATTAATACCGACAGCTTGTTGCCGATATAAATACTTGAGCATGTTTTCAATGTCTTGAAGATTTATGACTAACATAATGAACACAAATGTACAAAGTTATGTACATAAATATATGGAAAAAAGAATTATACTCTTAAATAGTTCACATTTTTTGTTATTAATTGTTTCCAATGTATTTTATTTAAAGCAAAAACAATGCCAATAGTTAAATATTTCACAAAAAAAAATAAAAATAAAAAAATATGTAAATAAATTGGCTTTTTTTGGTCGTTTTTCGATCTTGACTATTGACTACTGAGTTAAAATTTTTGGTGGACAATTCGACATATTTTAGGTGCTAGAGCTGTTTTAGCGGTCGAGCGTCGAGTATGCTCGAATACTCGGGCAGACATTGAAGTGATTTTTTTTACAAAAAAGTAAAAAAATTTGGAGTTTTAAGCCTTTTTGGGTATTTTTTCGGAGGCGTCTTGGAGTACCCTGACGGTCCCTCAATTTACAGGAAACCGTTTTAGCGGTTACAAAGCGCCAATTTTGTGCATATATAGAAGAGATGCTCTAAAAATTAAAAAAAAAAAATGATTTCGACTGTTTCAGATGCATTGTACGACCTCCATTTGAAAATTCCAATATTTTTATGTACTAGAAATTTCGTTTACCGCAATAATTCCCTTCCCTTTCAAAAGAAAAAAAGAAAATTTTTTTCGGGTTCTAAAAAAGGCTACTGCCTCAATTATGAGTACAAAACAACAGGGTGGTAGCCCGCCAAACTACAATAATAGTTGATAATATTGAGTGTGGTTTAATGCGTTTTGCTTTATATATTATATATATCATATTGTATTTACTATTTGATTAAATGGCTGTGGATTCTAAACTTTCTCAAACCTTTTTCTTTCCACAAAATCCATTTTTGGTTTTAATTTAGATTTGCTGACAGATGCCGCTGCAGTAATTATATGATTGTTAATATTAGCTTAATTTGCCAACAGATATCACCAGCTGCTGTAAAAATTTAAATCCGACATCGGAGAACTTAGCAGAGACAAAGAACGTATATTAATCAAAATTTCAAATTGGTTCACAGTTCTTTTCTCTTCTTATTAATATACGTTATTCGACCTGAGCCACTTCAATAAACAATTCACAGTTCTTTTCCCTTCTTATTAACAAAGAACGTATATTAATTATTAAATATACGTTCTTTGTTATTAATATACCTTCTTTGCTCTGATGATTGGTTAATCGTTCCAATCTTAGATAAGGGTGCAAACCTTAGATATCAAGGACATGGCAGACGTATCGATTAGTTAACCAGAAACCAGATTCACCACTGTGTTCAAATTTGGCTTTAAACTAACAGAATTGGTGGTTTAACATAAGGAAAAACTGTTATTCACTTCAAATTATGTTAAACCAAGAATAGAAATATAATGAAAACCAAATATTCATTAATTTTTAATTGTATTTCATGCCGCATTTTGTTGTCATTTAATAATTTTTTTTTAAATATTAATATATCATTATCTTTTCAAACTTCTACTTTATATATGAAATTTTTTTATTATTAAATTCATTATTTACAAATCTGCAATCTCTGTTATTATAAGTTCTCTATTGGGACGAGAACGCTTTGCGTTGGCTGAGCTATTTGAATGAATAAACTGTGGATCTTATCCTTCTTAATTGTCCTTATCTTAGATAAAGATGCAAACCTTAGACACAAGCTTTATTTAGATTTGTTCGCAGGTGCCGCCGTTATAATTAAGTGTTTTTTATCGCACGATTAATTCGCCGACAGATGCCACCAACTATTGTAAAAATTTGGATCCATTTATTCCCGACTCGGTCAATCGACCACAGACACAGAACCAGAGACCAGTAAATGTTTTTATTGCCGTTGCTGTTTTTTGTGATGTGGGGAATTAAATTTTCACAATTTTTTTTAAATTGTTGAATAAGGTGCGGTCAAAGAACGTATATATATATATATATATATATATATATATACGTTCTTTGGTTCGGTGTTGCAATTAATTTGAAATTTTTCCCAAGAAATTAAAACAACCACCTGTAATATATTTTCGCCAATTAATTAAAATGAAATTTATAAATGATTTCGTAATGATTTTCATAGAAAAACGTGTCAAATTTTTTAAAGTAAACCTGATACAAACCTTTCAATTTGTTGAGTTTGCTGTTAATAAATTATCTCTTTATATTAATTTTCATTTTTACATTTTTTTTTTTTGAAATCAACTGACAAAAAAGCTTTCACCACCAATGGTAAAAGTTTAACTTTGTCGTAGAATTGTCAAAGACCTTCAAATGAACTTTCGATTGTTTCTCGAACGAACCAGAACAGCCTTGTTAAGAAGTTACCTCTAATTGTGGTGAGAAAATAGCTAAGAATAATTTTTTATGCGTTCTACATTCCAAATTTTTACTTTTTCAAAATAGGTTCAACAATTGCAAAGAATGATTTGTGGATTCGGAACTTTCTTAACTGTTCCCATCATAGAAAATGGTGCAAACCTTAGATAGGAGCTTAACTTTTCATAGAATTTATTTCACAGCATGCCGGTTTTTATTTAGATTTGCTGGTAGGTGTCGCCATTATAATTAAATGATTGACAGTCTTACGGTTAATTTGTCGATAGATGTCACTGACCGTTGTAAAAAAATTTGCATTCCTTTATTCCATTCATGTTCATACTAGAAAATGTTAAAATAAAGAGAAAACGCAAATGTTAAGTCACATCAGAACTTACAATGAGTTTTATCAAAATAGGCAAACAATCGTAAATAACTTTTAAATAAATCAAAAATGATTCCATAGAACTCCTAATATGTTGTAATTTTTAATTAACAAATTAATTACTTTGATGAAGTGCAAATTGGCGAAAACTTAGTCCATCGATAAAAGCTGTAAATGCAATGCCAAACAGACTTCTTGAATTGACTCAAAAAAGAACATCTACACATTATTAGCAATAAAATTTTAAATAAATAAATAGAATTACGCTCGGAGGATTTGACATTTCCTACCCAAGCGCCACCGCTATTAGAAAAATTAATTTTGTATAATTTGGTTGGCCGAACTAAAACTCAAACCCCGTCCTTCCGAATATTAGTACGTAATGCTAACCACACGGCTACTGTGACCGGTGGGCTCCGGAATTTACCTGGAATGAGGCTGATCGTACCCAATCCTAATCCGACTGAATATTTTCCTCGCAATGGTCCAACTGAGCTCCTTGAAATCAATTCTACCACCGAACTCTCTCCTGTATTGGCCACTCGGCAGCTCTTGGTGCCATAAACTGTCTGTCAAACCGTATGACGTAGAAATGTAACATCCGTCATTTGTAATCCTCTTTTTGGCCTCCCCGTATTACGAACACCCTGGAAGGTCAGACTAGAACCAAGAAAATGTTTAGAAGTTGAAGCTGATGATGGATTGTTCTTCATTTCATTTTGTCAAATTAAGCAGGGAAATCACATGAGCAATAGATGATTACAAATACCTGACCTCGTGTGAATTTGGCTTTACCAGATTCTTACAGCTTAACTGCAAGAGACTCCAGGTCGAAGACATAACCCACGGCCGGTCAGAGCTATGGGCAATTTCCTTAGATTGATATCACAGTTGCTAGCGCTGGTCCGCTTCTTAACGTCTGACCGCCTTGCAGAATTTCTTAACCATGGTTGCCTACCGTCTAGCTACGCTAATCCCACAGATCCCTAAATATGTGAACTTACTAAGACGATTCGCCAACTGGGCAGCCATCATACGCGGTAGAGCACTTCATTTAATTGTTCGACCTGAAGAAGAGTCAATAAAGGAAAGGGGTATCGTACATTCTCTCCCTGGTAGCGTATATATTTGAAGCATTGCTGCGCCCGTTTTTACAGCAGCACTGAACGTCAGAAACCCACATACCAATGCTCTTAACCTTCTCGTGAACTGTCCTAATAGCCAATGTCCAATTATAACAGACAGCCGAACTCTCTAGTTCTCTACTCGACCTACTTTCTGAGAATACTCATCAGAAAATCGATCGTAGGGAGCTGTGGAACCGCATCTTAAACTCCATGCGTAACACTGCTTATACAGTATATGCAGTGTAACAATACATATGTTTGAAAAGGGTTTGAATCATTCTTTCGAGTTTTATATTCGTAAATTATATGTTAAAGTTATACGTGCTATAATATTATAAATAGAAATGCTGGTAAAGGGTTTTCGAGAATCCTCATAACAAAAAAAACCTATTTATCAGAGAAACAAGAAAATATAAAACGTTTAATCTTCATCGTCAAAATAGTTATTTTCGGAGGCAAACCGAATATTCCGTTCTCTAGACGAAGATGCGAGGGTCAAATAATATACTAATAAATAACATTATTACCCGATGTGAGGTATAAATTAATTTTGTTTATACCAACTATTCTTTGAACTACGACCGCAGGTTCATCTAATGACTGGGAATGTCAAGCCCTCGGAGCGAATTTTTGATACAAATGCTTTTCATATGAATACTTCGGTCGTTCGGAGATGTCTTAGAATGAACTGTAGGTCTCTCCACTTTTTGGAAAAACATCAAGACCGAAATTCCAAATTACAGGTGAAGCTCAATATATATATTTAGTATTTAATTTAATTTTAAGAAATTTTTTGGATTTTGTCTTCTCGACACCAGTACTAAATAGCAAATTTCTCTAGAATATTTTGTCTTCTCGGCTTAGTTCACATTATTTTCTGCAGCCTATGCCTGATAGGTAAGAACTTATATGCGATAATTGGGACAGATTGTGAGATCTCCACCATCCTCTTCTGTCGGGTTCAAATTCTTGTGTCGTACTAAGATCCAAAGAGTTATGGAAAATGAATTTAAATAAACAATTAGGCTAAATTTTCTTATTGCGGTTGCTCCTCGACTCAACGTTTGTAACCGCCAATTGTTCTGCAAGAAAGCTAATGCATTCAGTTGCCAGTTCTTCATCACAGTGCTTGAGTAGCTGAGCTAGTGACCCGGAGTTTTTTGCAGTTGCTATTCGTATTTCGTTTATTCGACTGATGGACTGTCCATTGTTATCCATATGTGACCCTTAGTTCAAAATTTGCATCATTACATGAGAAAACTGTTAATTCGGGACTTGCGAAACATGTTACGCTGAATTTTATCGAATAAAGGGAATTTGAAATGTCGAATAATAAGTCCCCTTACCGAAGGACTAAAAGCAAGTTTTTGACGTAAAACCTTCCTTGTATAGAAGGAAATTTCGTCTCCCTCCAACATGCAGTCAGGGAAACGTTGGAAAATTCCCTTAATTTCATAGATGGCGACATTGTCTAACATAAATCCAACACCAAATTTAAGCTAAGAATGAATTCAGCCCACTTTCTGCCAGGACGTAGTACAGCGCATTTTGTTTATACGAATAATAGGAGCTTCAAAAAAGTCTATACGGTCCAACTAATAATTGTTAATCATGTGGAACTTTTGAAACTTAATATAAAAGACTGCAGCGGGATATATTTTTTATATTTCCATCCGCTCCAGATTTGGCGCGAGCAAATGGCAGTAGAAAAAGCCAAGAAAAAGAATATAATCCCTTACTTTACTGGGTATAATGAAAGCACTCTATTCTAAGGAAGCAATGAAGAATTTGATGGTATCCTTGATTTGAGTTTCCAATTTCTACAAGTATTTGAGCAAGTTCGGATTTTAATTAATTGTACTCATCCAGCTACTTTTCCTATTTATATAGGTATGATAAAGCGAAATTTTTGAACAGAGCCGAAGCCCAGCAAATGCAGATGGACGACTTAGAATATGATGATGAATGCAACCGAATATATGATATGCCAAAGGTTGCGTGATGGTGTACCCACCACGTCCATTAAAACTCATGAACAATCCATATTTTCCATAAATTGGGGATATTAGGGTGAATTAACTTTTGCCAAGTGAAGAAATGATGCAGTGCAAGACTATACTATAGACACTAGAAGAGAATCTCTATTCATTACCATGCATTTGGAAAAAAAATCTGATGGATAAATCATTTTTTAGATTATTATTGTTATTATTATTATTAGCCGAGTGATAAGCATTGTGTACTGCCATTCGGAAGGCCAACATCCAATAGTTCTAGGAAATTACTATAAATAAAAAATTATGTTAAATTTTTTTAATTTATTTCTTTTCATACATACACTCGGAGGGGTCGACATTCCATGCCGAGGGGCGACTGTAATTAAAAAATTTAAATTAATTTACTATAATTTTTGTACGTTGGACGGACCAGGAATCGAACTCTGGCATTCCGAATGGCAGTACGCAAAGTTAACCACTCGGCTATATCCTAAAATATCACTACTATCACTGCAATATTGAAAAGGTTGACCAATCTACACAGTGTTGTTAAGTAGTAAGTATTAAGACGGCGTCTGGATCAATAAAATGGAAAAATACTGTTAAAAATGCAAAACGAAGAGCAGGCTACGGATGTCACTAGGTAGAATCTAATTTTTTTATTAGAGGTTCGGCAGTTACAAATATATGGAATCCTGACCCATCACAATCTCCGCGAATGCGTAATGGAAATGGGGGGGCTAATCTTGCAATTTTTTCGCAAATTCATTGCTGAGGCTTTCAAGTCAATGGGAGAAAATTGGCGGCGCACAGAGCACGGTAATCCAAGCGAGTTAAAGTTACTCCCAGCAGAACGGGAGTAGTGCGAGTGGCTTGTAACTAGTTTAGTTTGACCACACCTCCAGAGTACCCCAAAAGCATATTATGTCTTCTTTGCTTGTGAATTAATGCGCTAATTATTGCTATTATTCTTCTGTTTCTTGCATGATTTCCTGTTTATATATAGTTGTTGGATTTCCTTTTAGGCAAATTGCCGTAGGTAGATTTTAGTTCGCGCAGTTTTGTTGCGGTTTTAAATTTTTACGGATTTAGTTTTATACTCTAACTTACTCAATATATTATAAATGTATCTTACATAGCAGACATGGCATTTGGAACCGTTGGATCTACTGAGATTATCAATCTGATCATATTAATGCATACGTATGTATTTTGGTGGATATATTATTAGGGCTACATAAATTATAAAATGGTTTCTTGTTCGTGAAGGGTACGAATCGTTTCTAAATAATTCACCCTCTTACACGTAGTATATTCATCTTACATTATATGTATGTACATACATATGTATAATACTTGTGGATTGTTTTTCACTTTGCCCTTAGCTATCTGGTATTGATGTTAGCAGAGAAATTGAATTTTGTATGCGTTTTTGAGCACATGTTGTTGTATGTACATATGTATCTTTGCTACATATTATATACTTGTCTAACAATCAACAGGTAAGAAAACGAGGAGCGGTGAGTTTCTCATATGCATACAGTCATACGAGGATATACATATGTATATGATGCATACATATATATTATATATACAAAGTAAGGAAACTAACATTGCAAAATTCGTAAACGCGCACGTGTGTGCATGTATGTGATGCTTGTAACACAAGGAATAACGTAACCTGAGAAATTCACCTCAAGTTAACACTAATACATTTAACGCAAGCCACGATTATACATACATACATATCTATGCACTCGCATGAATGTAAGTTTTGTACGAATGCGACTTACCTGAGCACATTCTCAAGTAAGCTAGTAATAACACAAACGATCTGTGGCTCAAGTCAGCGAACGAAGACAGTGTGGAAGAGGAAAATACCACGTAGTCGGGTACTTTTGACTTAGTCGGCAATTAAAACCAACACTATTCTCGAGTATACTCGCGTTGAGTGAACAACGTTGATGCAATCAACGGATTGGATTAAGCTAACCTTCATAAATTGTCGTCGGATTTTCTTTATTTCATTATACTTGTATACATGAACCAATACACTTTTAATATACCTTTGGATGTGGTTCGGATTGACTGCCAAATACACGGCATTCCGTTGCGAGTGAACCCATTGAATTGAATATTTAAGTTTTTATATTGAATTGAAATGAAAGTAGGAGCGATGGGTTTATAATTACAAATTTACATATTTTCCCTTGTAAAATAAAAGTTAAAATGAAAACGTATATCTTATGGTGAAGTCACTGAGAAATGTTAAAAACCTGGAAAATAACAGGGCTAACTAGCATTTAGCGTGTACAATTATTCGATTTTATAGTGCGGCTTAATCAAACGAGTGTTCGAACGAGGAAATTCTTTAACGACGCCATATTTATTTTGCTACAACAAAAAGCAAATAAGAAAACACACCTAAATATAATATATTATTATAAAAGACTTGCGAATGTGCGGAATATACAGATACACACATATGTTATATATACATACATAGTATGTATTGCATCTACATACTACTTTCATATACAATATAAATATTTTCGAGGCTTTTAACAATAATAGTGGTGAACATGTCTAGTGATTCTCAGTCGACAAACTTAAATAGTTGAAATACCTGAACTACATCCTCACCTATGTATATATGTAAATGTAGGTATACATGTGCATACAAATATACTTTGGAATTCAAGTGTCAAAAGCAGCAAGCTTCTCAACAAATGATAAATATAAATACATACGTATATTATATGATCATATGTATATATACATATATACATATACATATGTACAATGTGTCTTTTTGTTATAATCTTTGAAAAAGTGCAGAGTTAACTATTGAGATCCACACTGAAATGCCTGAGAGTAGTGTAGGAATTATGTGTGTTGAAGAAATAGTTACGAATAAGTACGAAAATTAACAGTTTTGCACGTTCAAAGTATATTCACAAGGTGTACATATGTAACTCTTACACATACATGCACATTTATCTATGTATGTAAGAGTGTTTAAAAATCTCTATGTGTGTAAACGTAACGAAGAATTAAAAAAGAATATCTTGAATACCCACTCCGCTTCTCAAGTGCTCGGCGAGTACAGAAGCAGGCCAACACATAAGCAAAAATATATTTCTCCCTGAAAAAAAAAATACGAATACGAATAACGTGATAAAAATATGACAAAAAATAAATTTGTGGCAAATGATAAAATAAAATAACTGAAATCAAGAACAACTTAGAAACCCATCAAAACCAGAAATACAACTTTGTTAACGCCTGCGGTTGACAAAACTTAAGTATATTGAATTCGCTTTGTGTTCACTTGAGTGTGTATTTTCATTAGTGTCTAAACATTTTGCTCACACTAATCTCTCTGTCTTATATGAGTTGGCATAAGTGTTTTCCTTGTGTTAGTGTAGAATACCTGTGACTTTTGGTCAAGTGCTACGCAAAATTGAATCTTAAACTGTGAAAAATTTCCGAGTATTTCACGTAAAAAAAAATTATAAATACTTGATTACTTAACCATTTACTGTTATCATATACATACAACGTTTCGTGTAATTAAATATGGGTGATTCGACTCCAATTTGTCGCTGCCGAGTGCTTTATTTAGGTAGTGCTGTGCCACGCCAAAGCAAAGATGGCTTACAAGGCATTCAGGAGCCTTTACGAAGCTTGTATCCATCGGAGGGTGCAGTCGGAGCAAAAGGAATCGATTCGTGGTTAAGCGTTTGGTCGAATGGAATTCTACTTGAGAACGTTGATGAAAACTTAAAACAAATTACTCGATTTTTTCCCATTGAATCTTTGCATTATTGCGCTGCAGTTCGTCAAGTTTTAATCCCCGAGAGGGGAAATTCAAAGCCAGAACCAAAATTTTTACCTTTAGACTCGCCCTTCGCTCGAATGCCCCGTGCTCAGCATCCTCCAATATTCGCGGCTATACTCCGACGTACAACTGGCATTAAAGTTCTGGAGTGTCACGTATTCATTTGTAAGCGGGAGGCTGCTGCAAATGCTCTAGTCAGATGTTGTTTTCACGCATATGCGGATAATTCGTATGCTCGCCAACTAGAGACAGGTAGTTCGGGTGGCGGTGCTGGAAGTAGTGTGTACGGCACATTAAAGAGTGGTATTGTTAGTAAATCTAATGGAGATCTAACTAACATTGGTATTACGAACGGCAGTCACCACAACCATCAGCATCATATGGGTGCACCCTCCAGCCAAGCTGGTTGGCGTTCACGAGCAGGAAGTACCACCACATTGAATAGTGTTGGACGTCAATCTAATGGTCACATCTTTAATGGAACTAGCGGCATAAGTTTAAATGGTGGAGGAAGCAATGGTAGTGCCGCTGAAGGATACACATCTGTTAAGAACTGTAAGTATTTCTCTAACATATTGTACATACAATACATACATATAACCACCAAATAGTGAATACCATATGTATATGTTGATAAAATGTATGCAACTTCGTCATTCAGGCATAACATTGATTAATTCAATAACAAGCGCTTCGAAAAGTTGTTGACTTTTATTGCTAAAGTATTTTATCAATGAAAGTAGACACTGATACAACTACATACATATCTTAGAAATAGGGTAGGGTGGAAATTTGTTGATAGAGTGCCCCAATGTGCCAATATGCTTGTTGAATTTACGGTGTTTCAAAAAATGTTCGCGCAACCGTGCTCAAAATTTCACCTAGATGTCTATTTGACCTTTGAAAATATAAAATGATCATTATTAATTGATTTAATTACATTAAAAATGAGAAATTCAGTGCCATAATGTTATTAATACCATATTAATATTATTACTATCTTCTTTTCGAATCCCGTTCCTTTCTTATTTGTCATTTATTGTTGTATTAATTTTTAATGCACTTTATTACAATCAAATGTGGTGTACATTCTTCAGGGAGTTTGTTGAATTTTTGGTCAGAAATTCGTTGGCGATGGTATCCTTGCGAGAAGACATGATTCATCACAAGTTACAATGAGTTTTGCGAATATGGGGTCGAAATAATCTCGTTTTAGCATATCCATAAGCCAATGGCAGATAAAACATTTGTTCGCTGCGTGATGTTTCTAAAGCAAAAACCAGAAAGCGTAAAACGTTGCTTGTCAGGGAAGTCTCGTAGGGCTCCTTGCATTCTTTTTAGACGTCAAAGTCAATTTGTCACTTCTTCTCTGCCATCAGCTTTACCGACCTTTGCGCGATTGAGTCTATGAAAAAGTTGAGACCTTCGGAGCTAATAAAGCAGCAAAGCGTTCCTTGCCCGAACATTCATTTAATTTGGAACGAATAGTTTAACTGAAGGTTCTCTGTTTATTTCAAATACTTCTAAGCAGTGACCCTGCGAAAGAGGATTTACTGTTCTGATGTAAAACAATTTCTTTGCACGACATTCCTGATCAAAATATTTATATGTACATGCACTTGGCAGCATTGAGCTCTTTTTAAGCTCAACATCAGTGTAGAGTTTTGACAAATCCCTTTACCCGGTACTTTTTGACAGGATAAATATAAAATACAAGGCATGCGTCAAGTCTTGAAAGCATTTTTTTTGGATTCCCTTCTGTGTTTTCAATTTGCTTTCACATGCGTCAACTTATATGGAATTCAAATTTTTCTTTCCTTGCTTCCATATGAGATTTAAAATTTAATTTAAATTTTTATAACAGATATTAATACAAAAAGTGGCAGACGACAAAAAATTATTTTCAAGGATATTTTGCAGGTTACTTGCAAAGCCAATGAGGAAGATAGTGATGACGGAATAATATTTGGTATTTGATTGAATTTTAAAATATATGTAAATTCATGGATTAGTTATTTTGTTGAAACGGAATTTTTTGATTACCATATAGAAATTAAGGCCTTTGTAAATGTAATTAAATTAATTTTTCACAATGAAACTTTCCACGAAAATCAAATTCTACTTGTCTACCCGCTGATTTCGACACTGAAATGAGTTTTCTCAAAGTGAAAAGAAATAGGAAAAAGTGTCAAACGCCACTAAAATGTCAAAAGAAAGGCAAGTAAAATTGAAAATACTTGCCTGTACCGAGGTATCTGTACCCTAACTCTTTCTTCTCAATCTTGAAAGTGAAAGGGGACCAACACCAAGTGAGGAGTCAAAGCACGGGAACGAGAAAATTTTGGACTCAACAGAGAGAAATTTTTTTTACACAAAGCCATGGCTTAAGAACCAAAAAATTTTGGGAAATAATTCTGCTTATAAGTGGAACAAAATGAATCCTCTTGATTTGATAACCATCACAAGTGAAAAGCAATAGACCAATCTATTTACAACACTTATTTAAGATTGACTTACTTGATATAATTAACATATAGGGACTAGTTCACAATATCCATACTCCGATCAAGAACTTTTAGGATGACATAAAAATTACAGTTGGTAAGAACCACTGGCGAATTTTGTACAAGACCATCTTATAGACACTTTACCAATTAGATGTGAACAAAACCACCAAATAATTAATCAAATTAGTCTGCATTTGTCTTAATTGAAATATTATGAAGAATTAGGAAATGCCAACAAAAAAAATTTTTTATTTGAAATTTGGTAAAACTAACTATACGACACGTTTAGAATTTTTCACTACCTATTGCAGTTCATTTTCCTTCTTTCCCTGACTTTATTAGTCCTACTAACTGGCAACAGTCCGGCTATGAGTCAACTTCATATTAGTTATTATTTCTATTATTAACGGTGAAATGAATCTCAATCACTACAATCATAACCGCTAACCATTCAGTTATCGTAACGATGTGACGAGCAGTGACAGACACCGCATGTACGCCAGTATTTAACTAGAGTTTTTGCATACTAGTCTACCTTTATCCAAAGGGTATGTACATACGAGTACACATACATATATTTCGTGGAGTATGCAAATAAGCTCTGAAATGAGATGCACGGTACATACTTTCACACATACATATGTATATTAGATATGCAGATGTGTATGCTTAGGCATCTCAATTTTGGAAAGCACTTTTCACTTATTTAAATATTGACGACAAGGTATGTGCCATTATCTGTTGCTTTTTATGAATGCTTTGACTTTGAAGCGTTTTAAACCAATACACATAACAAACTATACATGTGTTAATTTAATTGTCAAGCCCAAAAAATGTATTTAACTTATTTATAAACAATATGGCAAAAGTACAAGCACTAAGCATACTGTAATTTTCACTGCTTATAACTTGCTTTTGTATATTTATACTTATGCATACAAACTAACATACATGTACGTACATACGTACATACGTACATGTGCATCTGAAATTTCAGTATTTCAGTATGTATACAAATTTCACTAAACATAAACTGTGTATTTTCTAATTCGCTCTCAAAATTTGTTTAAGCTATTCTGTTTGATTAGTTTCTTCTAATGAAAACCGGTTATTTTGTTTTGTATTAAATTGAAGATTTGCTGGCGATTTGATTGAGTGTTTTATAAGAAATTATTAAATTATCAATTTTATCGGAGTTCGAACATTCATGCTCTAGTATAAAAGAGATAATTTGTCTCAAAAATATTTAAGAATGTCTCTCTATGGCAATCATTAAGCGGCATCGAGTGACTAGTCGAAAAAAGTTTGAAATTTGAGGTGAGGTGTCTACTTGGTCACAAACTAACAACGTAAGCAATTTAATTGTTTTTTATAAAATATTCTTCAACAATTTTAAGAAAAACATAGTAAAGGCGCAATTTTGACAATTCACAATTCTGACATTCAGAAAATCATTTATCAAAATTAAGCTTTGTATTTATTGTAAAAATAATTTGAACAACAATTTTAAAATTTTTAAATATATGTATGTGTGTATGTTTGTTGATTATTATGTCATCTTTCAATTAACGTTCCTTTAAAGGCGACATTATCAAATGATGGAGAACTTTTCGTTTTCTGCTTTATTTTTTCGATGAACTTTTGATAGTTTCGGTTACTGGCATTACCCATTTACAATACCGAACTATTTTGGATATCAAAGAAATAATATTTAAATCAAATCCCTTTTCATTACAAGATGCTTATTTTTCTAAGATAAAACTATTTTTTAATCAGCGTATATGATAAAACGGTAAATGTATTATTCAATTTATCTCCATCTTATATCTTCATTGAATTTAAATAAATAAACTTTTCAGGAAATAATAAAAAAAGAAACCAAGAAACGAAAAGCTATTAAACTTGTCATACTTGTACTTTGTTACTCGGTAAAACGAAAATATGTTAATTTTATAAGAACAAAAAACACGTAGAAACAGACGTCTTCTTTATAACCCTATCTTTCCAAGTTATTGGAAAGAATTCTGATATCTTCTTTTGTACATCGTAACAAAGTGATTCCAGAACACTAATTCGGGTTCGTGAAAAACTTAGTACTGTAAAATAAGTCAACTAAATTAGTAATGAGATTAGTAAAGCATTCGAGCTCGAGGAGTTTTACTATGCAACTTTATATCAAATGGATTACCGTGAAATTATTATTGAAGAGTTTCCCGTTAAAACTGTTATTCCTCAAGGTTGTCTTCTTGGATCTTAAGTATATATTTGAACTGTCGCGCCATATTATGACGTAATAAATTTCTTTAATAAGCATAAAAAAGCCTTTCATTTTTCATCGAAGAATGGAGAATTAAAGCCACACACTTAAATACAAGACTCACCTGGAAAAGACACATAGATGCTAAATTATTACATTTGAAATTAAAAGGAGCTAGTTTAACCTGGCTTTTACATAGCATCGCCGTGCTAAAGCCAGATTACAAAGTACTCATTGACAATTTAATAATAAATCCAGTCGGATGTTGTGGACAAAGGAGTGTGACTTGTGCAACTAGTATTGAGAAAATACAGAGGTTCCAGTAAAAATTCTTACCCACTAGCCAACACTTTGTGCAACTCAACCAGAAATTCGCGACTGCAAAGAGACTTTTCCGCCTTCTAATGAGAGTGCCATTGTTTAAAAAACTTTTAATTTGATTTTAAGATTTTTATACTTAGGGTTAGGGTTAAGAATGAGTTTTATTTTGTATATTTTTTCACTTTCTCGGTTTTTATTTACATATGTATATCAAATCTGATTTTTTCACAAAATTAATTGGGTGTTTGCGATTTTGATCGATTGCACTGCATGTACGTGTAATTACAGTGACTGTGATTGCAGACGTGGATTTACACTGTATTCAATTTTTCACATTAGATTTGATTAAATTTCTGTTACGCACTTCTTTTAACAAATGAAAAGCTCATAACAATACCTTAGCTACCGTCACAAGCAAAGAAAACCAAAGCAAGGGCTGAAAGTTTTATCGCATTATATAATAAATACAAGGAAAAGAAAATAAAAACATTTCGACAATCGGGCACTTAAAATTAACTAAATTTGAAACATTTCGATCTTATTTAATTAACCTTGTACAATAGACGGTCTAGAACTAATTAAGCAACTTCGGTTTGTGGTGTGCGTCCAAATCAGTATACATTTACACTTAGCATCTTACAAAATGCATAAATTGACCTACCTTATCGGTGCAAGTTAATTGGTTTAAGAATTTCGCAAAGAGCCAACCTAGATTGCTGTTTTGAATTCAAATGATTTACACATTTCCTTGTCTCGCTTTCTTTTCCCTATAAAAACTGCAATATCCTCTGCCGAGTGACCAAAGTTTGGTTTACGTTTTGGGTCTCGCATAATAATTGGTGCTTGTGCTGGTGTTAACAACTAATCTCTGGAAGTCTTTGCAAAGAACATACATTATCTTTGAAAAATTAAGTTATATTTCATTTTTATTATTTGTTGTTAATATCCACCATCGCAGCCTCCATGGGCGAATATCTAACTCCTTCTATTGAATTATTATTTAAGTTTATGCAATAGCCAACCAAATCCTATTTTAACTTGAACATATATATATATACGCTGGTTATTTATGGATTCGTGTATATTGCACTCATCGTGTTACGGAAACGCGATTTCATGCACGCATGCACCAAAGACAGTGGATACACCTGTTTGGTTATACAAGTATATGAAAAGTATTGCTCAAATATTATTTAAATCGATTAACATAATCTGTTAAATCACCTAATATATCGTTAATACTTGCATGCGCACATTTTGTTATATTATATCAGTTTTGTCCAACTAGCGGTTGAATTTAACAGGATAAAAATAATTGCTTGTTAAACAGCCATAAAATTCAGTTATCCTTGGATGGATTTCGGCGTGTAATTACAAATATGGAGCACCACATGAGAATTGTCGAAATCGGATGAAAACTAAGTGACCGTAATTTTTCCGCTTAGGAGTGAGATACCCGAGTTTCTAGCATACAGAGGTTAATTAATAATTATAAACGCGAAAACAAATGATCTTGACAAAATGAAAAAATGTGTCATACATTTCCTAACAACTAAAGTATGATTCATAATTCGCCATTGTTAGGTTGTCATTTATACCACGTTCAGCTGTTCGCTTTTGGAGATTTTTAGGGGATGAAATTCGGAACTTGGGAATTACTCTCATTTGTAGAGCTCTCTCGTTTACCCAGTTATCTTTTACCCAGGCTTGGTTGCATGTGCTATTTAACAACCAATAATACAATTTAAACCAAATTTTTTAATAATGATTACATTTAAAAAATGGGTATGGGTATGTGTGTGGTTATTATTGTGTATGAACGTTTGTATACCTGTGTACATTGTATGTAATTTTACCTTACTAAGAAGCATTTATAAATAGTGTTACATAGATATGTATATACAAATTCAGTTTTTTAAATTAAAATCAAGTTAATTAATAAATTTGTTTCTCTTTCGTAGTCTATGGAAGCAGTGCTGATTTAAATGTAATTGTTGATGATGGTGAGAATTCAATATACAATGGAGATGAGAATCACAAAGTCTGGAATGGTTCCCAAGACCAACTTGACGCTATAGCAATGGAAAGTCCATATGAGGTGTTTTCTACCAATACTTCTACATTAGGGCGGCCTGCGAGAGCTCGTCAAATTAGTACGCCCATTGACGTTCCACCCCCTCCCCTGAAGGTGGAAACAAACAAAAAACGCAAAGACAAAAAGTCGATAAAACCGCCTGGCAGCCAAAGTCTATCTGGCACACTTATACGTCCGAAGCCCATACATCCAGGCACATTGCAACGACCCGGCTTATATGCTGGAGCGCCGGGTAGTGTAGTTTATGGCAACGTGGCTGCGTCAGGAGCTTACCCGCCCGCACATGGCTCACGAAACTATCACACAATTAGTCATCGAGGATTTCATGGAGGTCCACCCGGCCCAACTGGTCCGCATAGTTTCCATCATCCCGGCATGCCACCACCACCACTTCCTCAAATGATGCACCCATCACAAATCGGCGTGCCATTGCAAATGCCTGTAATGATGTCACAACAATATGCCACACTTCAATCCACGCGTTCCACAAAGAAAAAGAAGAAAGATAAAAAGAGCAGCGGCATACCAGTTGGATTACCTATGGTACCACCTATTTACGCCTTCCATCAGAGTATGGGCGCACCACCTCCACCACCGCAACCTGCTCTTACGCAATCTCTAATTGGTGAATCTCGGCCGCTAGCTATGAGTAATAGAAAACTTGCTGCATCTGTGGGTAACGGACTCGACGACGCACACAATTCAGGTGCGGAATCACCGGGTGGGACCGGCATCTATCGACGAAAGGGTCATTTAAATGAAAGAGCTTTCAGTTATTCCATTCGCCAGGAACACAGAAGTCGTAGTCATGGTTCCTTAGCTAGTCTACAATTTAATCCACCTGATATGAAGAAAGAACGAGAAATTGCTCAAATGGTAGCAGGGCTTGATTTAAACGATAGTCATGAAAGGGAAATGCCGCCAACGACGCTGCAGCTAAAACAAATGATGGCATCAAATGGTAATGCCGCAAATATACAACAGCAGGCAATTTATGGAAATGGTGGTTCGAATGCCATATATGGTAACAAAATGGGTTCAGCGGGAGGTTTTGGGAAACCGCGAAGATAAGCTAAGGCATTTCATTACATTTCAACATGTGGAGCATAAGCTTATTATATGTAAAAAATGAGAAACATATTTGCTATTTTTATTTGTATGAAACAAATGGTATAATCATATAATAGTATGTACGTTTGTAAATATTTTATGTCTGTATGTATGTGTATAAGTTTTGATAAACTTGCTGTATTAGGGATAAAATGCTTAAAAACTCGATAGAAGCTCGTCAAAAAATTATAAAGCGCGACTTTAGATTATTTTGCAACCTTTTTCATCCTAAACTCTCTACCATGGCTTAGTTGCAGTCTATTCGTGTCATATCATTTCAGAGAAAGGTAAAACCAAAGAAATATAAAAATGCAAAATAATGAGCGCATCCTTCTTTTAGCGAATGCAAGCAAACACATTACTTTTTACATTGTTATACTCATAATAGTTGTGGTTAGCAGCTTACATTACCATGCGGAGGGTTCGAGCCCTGGTCTGATCAATATTCAAAATTATAAAAATTTGATTTAAAAGCTTAATTTTTTTAATGGCGGTCGCCTTTTGGCAGGGAACGCCAACCACTCCGAACGTGTTTCTGAACTGAAACCTGAAACCAAAGTTCCGCCTTAAAATCCATCAACTGTTCGGAGGCGGAAAAGCGCCAATACATATACATATACATATAGATATCCTGCAGATAGAAGCAAATAATGTTATACCTACAACGAATAATTGTGAAATTATTGAACCAACAGGAGGAAGTAGAGGTCTTTTAATGCACGATGTGAGATATACATACTGCATACATATATACATATTTCCAACATTGTGTAAAATGTGTAGTATATGTATGTAGCTATGTCCTTACGTAAACACATCAGATAAACGAAATTACTCACTACGAGGTTGTTAAGAATGCAAAGTTTAGCATTTGAGCTCTGATTATTATTTGCTTATTTTTAATTCATTTTGGCAATTTTGTGTAAATTTGTAAATATTTACATGCTTATATGTATGTAATATACATATTTTTAAAGAAAAATACGTTTTTATTATTTTATTGAATATTTAAAAATCTATTTACACACTTGTAATATTTTCATGAGTACATATGTACACTGCAAAAATTGATTAAAATGTGTCGCAAACGTAAGAAATAAGCCTTTCATATTTAAGTACGTGTATACTGCAATGTCCGATTTTGGATCGACTTGAGCTTTGCATATAACACTTCAAGATTAGTGAATTTAGTTTGGTTTAAAAAAGTGTAAGAAAACCAAATTTTATTGTAATTATTAAAATATCTACATTGTTAAATATGTATATTAAAACAACAATACTAAAATTATAACACATGTATGTATGGATGTATGTATGTATTTATATACGATACATATGTACAGAAGGTAACATTTTGTTCCTTTCTTCATACATTTCAAAATAAATGAATAGATTTAAAAGAGTTACGATGCTGGTCAATGATGAACATATTTGTACGTATGGCAAAACATACGTGTATAAGATCATACATACCCATAAATAAATATGTACATAAAATCAAATATTAAATAAAATATTTTCAATTGCATATTTATACAATGAAAATTGTGTGCCTTATTAGGTTTATATACACTGTTTACCATTTATATACATTCATATATTATTTAAATAATAAATCAAATCAAATTCCAAAATGTACATAAATAGAAAAGAAAATTGTATGAAAATATAAAAAGGTCGCCAAAAACTTGAAATGAAATTTTGTAAACATTTAGCAAGAACATAAATAAAGTTTGAACGAAAGTGTCAATGGTGCACGGTTTTATTTCAAAAGCGTTTAATGCTCGGCGTGTATTATCATATCATATTTACTGATTTAAATTGAATTTTTATGCCACAACATTTTTTCATTCGATTTAAACTTTATTTGCTTCACATAAACTGCTTAACACACATATATTTATAACAATAATTCCTCAGGTAAATTATTTTATTTGCAATCGAAGTTTATGTGTACACTTGAATTAATTATTTTTTTAAATTTTCTGATTACTTTTAACAGGAATAACTCTCATTTATGAATTATATTTGAAAGTTATCAAAATCATGATCATGAAGAGAGTTTTGTGATCTCCATTGCGGCGGTTTAGATTGTCAAGGCGAATTATTTTAAACAGCCAAGAAGATTGTGACGAAAAGTTGAACTAATTCTGTGTTAATTGAGATAGTTTCTGAATTAGCTTACATTATTCACATCTTATTGTATTTATATATTATATACAGACGCCGTTTACTTTCTTGAAACTCTTAATTTTATCGAAAATTGATCCAGAATCATCGAAACTATGCAACTATCTCTCAAAGAGAGCATTTAAAACGGTGATTCTAATGACATGTCATGTTTATTATGTTGTATGCCGCAAAACTAGTTATTCAAAGAAAAAACCAATTTAAGAAATTTACGATGAATTTAATATATATAATTACATTTTAGTGCATCTTCTCTCACTACCACTCTCTATTATTTATTTTTGATATCCCTGATTTAAAACAAAGAAGAGCGCTTAAACATACTAGTTTTCTCCATGGCGTGGTAAGCTTTACATGAGTTCATATACATATATAATGTAAATATTTAAGCTCACAAAGAGCGTCAGTAATGAATTATGGCGAGTCCAAAATAACAAACTGAAAGCCTTGGAATGCTTGTTACCCACTTTTGATTGTCAAAGTAACATATATATAAATATATGTGAGTTTGCATTAATGAGTTCATATATCAAAAACTAAGTATGTTGCACCTAGCATACCATTTTGTTTTGATATACAAGTGAATTCATGTATTTAGATTTCGCAATGCAAATTTTGATTGGAATTTCAACAAATGGATTATGTCACACCTTTTATATTTTTAGAGACACTTCGAAATTCCTTAACTTTTGGGTGATCATTTAGATTTAAAAACTTCTACTTATATACATATACATATATATAAATATAATATAAGACAAAATTATTATTGGTTGCAGTGCATGCTGGCACATGGCAGGTAATTGGTTCGAATATTTTCTATACAGTTTATCTCGAGTCACAAACTAACTTACATTTGAAATCTTCATTTTATTGTTATGAAACCAATTCGGTTTTTGCTGACCTTCTTATATCCTTATTCAGTATAAAATGTGCTTTAAACAAAGCGATTTTTTTCATATTTTAACGTCCCTCCATGTGCATAGATTTAAATGTTAAAAGATCGAATGAGTCTGATTTGTTTGATTTTTGAAAATTAAACAACGTTTCTTTATCGAAAGATCGTCTGTAGTCGGCAGTTTCAATACAACCCGATACGGATTTCTGTTACAATATTCGATCAATATTCGTTGTTAGCAGCCGCGGTGGCCGAATGGTTAGCATTGCGTACTCGGGTTCAAATCCCCGTGCGACCAACATCCAAAAGTTATAGAGAACTAATTTATATAAAAAATTAAGCTACATTTACTAATTGCGGTCGCCTCTTGGCAGGGAATGTCCACCCCTCCGAGTGTATTTCTGACATGAAATTAAGATCCTCACAAAAAAACCATCAGCAGTGTAGCTTAGTATAATCTATAGGTCCCTTCATTTGTTGGAAAAACATCAAGACGGTAAACCATAAATTGGAGGAGGAGCTCAGCCGAAAATTGCTTCAGTGCTTACAAAGCGCCAATTATATACATATATATATAAATAAATATATATATATATAGAACTCAAAATTTTGTTCGTACATTTTTGAGCAGCTTGTGCAATTACTTCATTCTGCTCCATTCAACTTCAGGCGTATCGAGGCTACCACGGTTCGCCCGTTATTACCCCCACATTTTTGGACGGGCCCCTCTGTATTATCTCAATATTAGTTACACAAGAGAATTGAAGGTGTCATACCATAAAACCATGGTTGTAACCATATTCACTAACAGCGAGTTTTAAGATTAATTTTGCCTAAAAATCAGATTTGGTATGCAAATGTAAATATAAGCCAGTTGTCTGTGGCTACGGCAGAGAACCAAATGCACTTGGTAGCTAAAGCTATGGTTTTTGCCACGTCATTATTGTATGACACCATTAATCGGAACCAGTGTATCCCATTAAGTTGGTTGGATTGGTTGTCAGGGTATTGTATAAACATGGCACGTCTAATTTAGGCCTAAGATTCTGTAGTCACAGTTATAGAATATATAGTAAGTGTTAAGTATATACATATGTATGTGAATATAAAGTGCATGAGACGAGTCGAGGCCAGGCGAGGCGAGGCAAAATGTTGCTGAACATTCAACTTTTTTCCCTTCCTACCCATTTTTAAATATTTTGTATTTGTGGTCATTAGTGTTTAAACTAAGAATTTCCTTACTGTTTGCATAAACCAATCAGAAAATCTTTTAATTTTCATATACGAGTTTTCAGCAATTTGGGTGTTTTTGGATTTTCCTTTATATTTTCTTAACTGTTTATGTGTGTACATTCTTAGTTGTTCTTCCTTCCCCACAGCTGCTATTGCTCGTTATGTCAAGTGAATTGGTTTGTTTCTCTCCACCACCTATTTACCTTCGTCTCTTATATTCACTTAAAATGAATCGATTGTCGATGTTAATTCAGTTTTGCTAGCGTAAAAATCCATGTGCTAACCAGATTGTCCGCATTCCATCGTTCGGATCGAACAAAACACATATTAAGACTATAAAAACTTATAACTGCCACTGCATGTATGTGTAAATAAGTATATACCGAAGCTACATTAATGGCAAACCGGATTGCAGCAATTCACCATACGGTGTAAGCCGACGCAGCGATTCCCAAACTGAAAATTTGTACTCGCTCGTTTCAGTTCTACTTTCCTACTTCAGTTCTACTAGACACACGCAATTAATAGATTTTCCTCAGGTTTATATGTAGGTAGAATAAATCGCGTTATTCAACGCAAAAGCTTGCAGCTTTTGGTTTAAGCATACGACATATACGCCGTGTATGTATGTATATTGAAAAACGCAATGCGATTGAAAAAATTTAATATCTTTATTACACTCTGTACAAATGTGTATATCGCAATTTGTTAATGAATTTATAATTTGGTGCCCTATTTTTTTAAACCGGCACTCAAAGGGTGTTGACGGCCACCATAGCCATAGGTTTAGTAGAGCGGGCTACCAAGTGGAGTGTCATGGGTTCGAATTCAGGTCAGACCAACATTCAAATTTAAAGATAATATATTTTTATTATTTGACGGGGAATGATAACACCCCGGGCTTTTTCTGATATGGAAGAAAATGCTTATAAAAGTCCATCAGCCGTTCGTAGGCCGCACACCAGAAAGAATTTTATTGGCGAAAAAATCCTTTCAACGGTTATGTAAATACAGGTTGTTGACTGCAAATCATCTTTATATATATTCTGGATGAAACGCAGTCTATACCGAACGCTTTATACCTTTCATAAAAGGATAACTTTCTATTTTTGGGTCCAACGATATTCACGTTTTAATTTAAATTTATTTTGCCAAAATTTCAAGCCTTGTTTCTGGATAACTTTCCATTTCGATATCTTGCAGTTGCAATATCCGACCTTTGTTCAAATATTTCACGAATTGAGAGTATAGTTTCTTTCTAATACACAGACAGATGGCTAAATC